GTGTGTGTGTGTGTGTGTGTGTGTGTGTGTGTGTGTGTGTGTGTGTGTGTGTGTGTGTGTGTGTGTACACTTACTGCCTCTCTTCTCAGCTGGATGAAGAACTGTTTGCACTTGAAGGAGATTTTCACTATTTTCAACCTGGAAGCAGAAAAGCGGAGTTAAATCTTCAGTCCTGAGACGCTGACGTTCCACTTTCAAACAACCCGACACACTCTCCTCTTTTCCACTCGTCACACATTTTCACGCTGCACAACATTTAGCCCGTGTCTCCTCTCTGCTGTCACGTCTGCCTCGTCATCTCTTCTCATTTCCACCCATCCAGCCAAAGTTAACTAAAAGTAAACTGAACTTAAAACAAGTGGAAAGACTAATTAAAGCAAATAAAAATAACAGGAAATGTCAGTGTGACTGTGTTGAGTGCTTTTATACATTTTTTAACTTCTTAAAAATTACAATCTGACAAATCATCATGAAACCAAAGTCATGGAAGAGCTTCGAAAAACGAAAGCGTCTGGACCTCTTTAGGTTTGTGAAGATTTCACCTCTCACCCACGAGAGGCTTCGTCAGTTCCAACAACAAAAGGTGGAGAGTCGTAGTGGGGCAACCCCTTTGGAGGTGGCAGTTGATCTACTATTGATCATGTGAGTCACCAAGGTGTGAGAAAAAGGTGTGGGTCATTACCATCACTGAGGGTTAAGGGTGAAGCCACTGTGAGACCTTCCTGACTGAGAACAACATCTGAACGTCTGAAGCAAGCAGCCAATCGTGGAGATGGAACGACACAGGAAATCATTCCTGCCCGTGGCCATCTCCTCATCTAGCTAATACACTGTAAACACTGCATGTTACATCCCTTTGCACACGCTCCTTCCTGCTTGGTAATGTTAATAAAGTACTCTGATTCTGATTCATGCCCAACTAAACAAAATTTTAAAAGCTGGGTTTAAAAAAAATCCAACAGTACAGCTGAAGTGTGAGTGAATATTTTTGTAGCTCATCTTAGAGCAAGGATGCTAAACTCATCTTCGCTGTGCCGGACCAGTGAAACCATTTAACCTCTGAGAGAGCTCAATATGAGAAAAACAAGTTCAACTTTATACAGCACGTCTCAGTTTTTCTACACAATAAAGAAAAGCTGATGTAATAAATTAATCTATCAGCACAAATGAAGAAACACGAAAAGTAAGAAGTAAGACGGACCGTCCTGTTACTGTAAAACAAAGTTTTTGTTCAGTTACAGAAAATGTCTTTTTTTCCGTCATGTAATTTTTTATCAATGACTTAACTAGTTTGGTGTTGTATGACTGGCCATGAGGGAGGTCTTTATCTTTATCAGCAGGAAAAGCTGGAAAACTTCCTAATGCAGTTAAAAGTCCAAAGTTTATCCAGTCATCCACATTTCCAGATTCAAGTCTTTGCCGGGCTAATTCTGGGCCCCCAGCCTTATGTTTGACACCCCTGTCTTAGAGGATAACATTAAGGCTTAAAATTAAGAGCACTGCGGGAAAAAGTAGCACAAAACCTACTTTTACTGATGTATGCAGACACTGAAATTATGACCGAGTCCAGAAACCAATACGTGACCACACGGCAGCTACAAGCGCTCAATGAAAGCAAAGCAGGTGAACCGCGAAAGGTTATTTACAGTCAGTGCATCTTTAAACAGACAGGAGTCACAGCTCGTAGACTTACATGATGACATCTGAGTGTACAGATAAAATCCTTTGGGATTGGTCCCACAGTCAGGTGATTTTTCTTTTGTTATGCTAAAGGGTTTATTAGGGTTTTGTCAAGTTTAGTTTTAAACTGTTGTGGAATATTTACATTTTAAGAAGAAACTGAATTAATTAAATTAATTTGGAGCTGGTTCTGGTTCTCATACAGTGCTTTTGTACTCCTACTTGCTTCTCCACCACAATCTTCTGTAAGTCTGACCCGAGCTCCTCTGAAAAGCAAATCTCTCATTTCTTCTCAGCTGGCTGACTCATGTGTCCTATCAACTGTTCATTTAACCTCTGACCTCCTGCCAGAGCTTGAAGGCGTGGGCTAAAAGACCGTGCCAACACCAGAGAGTCCGAGGCTTTAACCACGCCGATATTACCTCATCAATCTGCGCATTACCTGAAACACACACGCTATAAAAGATGACTCAGAAGCCGCACACGCGTGACCACAGTAAGTAAGTCTGCTGATCAGCGGCAGGAGCAGAGTAACCTAATCCCTTCCTCTAGTTTTGTTGCTGCTGTGACTCATCGCTGCTTGCTAAATATATTTTACATACTTGCTCGCACACACACGTGCATGGACACGCACACACACTCAGAGCGTGAGTCATGCCCCATCTAAGTGTGGCTCATTTGTCAGGCTGCTGTGAACAGAAATAGGAAAGAGGCAGAAATCTAAACGTCTCTCTTGACCCCTCCTCATCTGACAGATCAATCTGCGATAAGGCAAAAGGAGAGGCGGCGTGAGGTGTGATGGGAGGAAACCGGACGCAGAAACGGCGAGCTTCTGTTAAAGGAGGACAGAAACGGGAAGAAAAATCAGCGAGCGTAGGCCGAGAGATGCTGTTGACTATAATGTTTCTCTCCCGCTCCCTCCCTCTCTCACACATGGTAGTCAGCAGCTGTTGGGGACACCGCTGTTGGTCTCTAAATTTAGCTCAACAGACTGGATGCACACGCACACTTCCTTTAGCCTATTTTTCCTCCACTTCGGACAACTTTGCATCAGCTTCTCTCGCTTAAACGCTCATTCCACGGAGACTTATCCGTACTCGCTCAAACTGGAAACAGTCTTAACCCTAAGATTTCATGGTTTGGCTTTCCTATGGCCCAAATGGAAAGACCTCAGATTTATGAATATAGACCTCGCACTGTCTGTAATTCAAAATCCTTCCATCAACTCATCTTAGAAAAAAACCCCCAAAGATGCACTTACACACACACACACTAGCCGCTGTGCGAGTGTGTTCAGGATGTATTAAGCCTACACATCTTCCAGCGTTACAGAGGTTTGAGTAGTTCATCTCCCACCCTCAGCACCCATTAACATTTAACCACCCACGATGCTACAGCAGAGAATGGGAGATTTCCAAGAACTGATGCTTCACAGAGAGAACGAGAGCAAAAGGCATAAAGAGCGATGAGATTAAGTGACTTGGACACAGAAAGAGAGAGAGAAGCAAAAGCAGGACACAGAGAGAACGACAGAGAGCAGATTTGACGCCTGTAATATTTTCAGGAAACCTAGTTTCACGCAAACCTCCTCCCCCCCACTTCCCAGAAAAATCTGGTGAAATCATCTTTATAATTCTAGAAAAGCTCAACAGGGGCTTAAACATTAATATGCCATGTCAATAATCACCATGTGAGGAGTTTCCAAAATATTATGCAGCTCATTTCTCAGCAAAAAGGGTTCCTGGAAGCAGTACAAGAGGAACTGCAGACCGACAGGCGCAGAGGTGGATTTGTGACAAGAACGTCCACCGTTTGATTTCCCAGTTCAGGGCAAATTTGGCAGGAGGAAATGACAGAGTATGAAAATATCAGTGAAGTACGCTTTCTTTCTTTCCCCCAGCAGTGCACCGTTTTTCATCCACATCGGATACGTGCCAGGTTCTCCGCTGGCTGCAGAGCTGCTTTCAAACAACCTTGATATTTGGCTCCGAGCAGGTGAAACTGCAGCCTCACATCATAAGCGTCTTTTGGGGTTTTTGATACTCCAAAAATAATAAGTGCAATACACGATGTTTACAGGAATACATACATGTTTCAAAAGCATATGCAGTTTCTACGTTTTTAAATCTATCCGATTTCCTGGGTGTGCCGAGGGAAAGATTCTCCCCCCTGTGGTGTCCCT